GCCTACAACTATCTATATATATGCATGCATGTATGCATGCATATGTATATATAGTGTTCTGCTCTATACAGCCAGTCTTGTTTGCTCTGCAAACATACAATACAACCGGATATTTTTACGTACATAGATAGATAGATAGAGAGAGAGAAGGAGATAGAGAGAGAGAAAAGAGAAAAGAGAACGAGAAAAAAAGAAAGAGAGTAAACAGAAGAAAGAGAGAGAGAGAGGGAAAGAGACCAACATACATGTTTTTAAGTTATTGAAAACCTCAAAAAACATCAACACGATGAAATATTTTAATATCAATTTAAGTAGTTTTATAAACATACAAACAAACATGCAAACACACACAAACATACACACAAGCATACACACATACGTACGTACATACACACAAAGATACGAAGATACATACACACACGTACGGATACATACATAGAAACACACAAACTCTAGCAAACACGAATGAGGCTTTTGTCTTTATTGAAGCATCCAGTCCGTGCAAATAAAAAAATTTTTCTGACCCAATAATAATAATAATAATAATAATAATAATAATAATAATAATAATAATAATAACAATAATAGCAATAATAACAATAATAATAACAAAACAAACAATAAAAAAAAATTGAATCATCTTTTTTCATTGTAGAAAAGGCTCTCTCTCTCTTTCCACTTGTCTGAAAAATTGATTGTATAAAAATAATGTACGTGCGTACATACATACATATATACATACATACATTCATACATACATACATACGTACATACATACATACATACATACATACATACATACACACACACACACACACACACACACACACACATACCTACATACATACATACATACATACACACATACAAACAAGCAAACGAACGAACATATAAGCAAACATACAAACATAAACATGTATAAAAAAATTGTATTACATTTCTTCCGATGCAAAAGTCACATCTTGATAAAGTTTATTTAGATTAATTTTTAACTGTAGGGGCGGGAAGAAGCTTTTTTTGGAAAAATAAGAAAGGAATTATTGATCGTGAGTTTTTAAGGAAATGGAAAAAACACACACACGTACACACACACGTACACACACACACACACACGTACACACACGCATGAACAAAATAATTATCTTAGCGTAGAGGGTTGGATAGATTGATGGATGGACTGATAAGATAAACAATTGATGAATGAATATAAGATTGCTCACTAAACGTACATAGGCTCTCGCATGCTCATACAAAATGACGTATCTGTGGTGGTAGTGGTAGTAGTAGTTAGAGAGAGAGAGAGAGAGAAAGAGAGAGAGAGAGAGAAAGAGAGAAAGAGAGAAGTAGTAGGTGTGACAACCTCAGTAGTAGCAGAGCAGCAGTAGCAGTAGTAGCAGCATTAATACAAACCAATAGCTGTGACAAAAGTTTTTCCAAGTTATGATGACAGTTACTTATACTCGTCGGTCATGGTAATAGTTTTGTATTTGTCACGCATAGAGGAAGGAACAATTAAAGGAGTCATTCTTGGACATAAACAAGCCTGATAAGAAATTGATGGAGCCCAAGATAACATTTCATACATACTTACATACAAGACATGCATTAATACTCTATTGTATTGTACTGTATTGTATTGTATTGTGTTGTATTGTGTTGTTTTGTATTGTATTGTGTTGTGTTGTGTTGTATTGTATTGTGTTGTGTTGTGTTGTTTTGTATTGTATTGTATTGTATTGTATTGTATTACATACGAACATACAAACGTACATACAAACGTACATACAAACGTACATACAAACATATATTCATACACACGTTCATACAAACAAACAAACATACATACATACATACAAACTTGCATACAACTAATTCGAGTATGACGTCACTGGTTACGTAATCAATCACGTGCCTAACGTGTTGGATCAAGTTGTTTGTTTTTTATTTAGATGGGGTTACTACTGTGTGTGCTTTTGTAACTGCTGCAACCGCCATTATATTGCTTTGGGATTTGGTGAGTGAGTGAGTGAGTGAATGAATGGATGAATGAATGAATGAATGAATGAATGAATGAATGAATGAATGAATGAAGGAATGAATGAAAAAACTGAAAAGTGTACGACAAACATTCAAGAAACTAAACAGACGAACGGGCAAAAATCATTAAAGCGTAAACACGAGCAACTACATTGTCTGAGAACAACACAAAACAACAACAACAACAAAAAACAACGACAAAAAACAACAACATCAAAAACACTAAAATTAACAACACCAAAAACACTAAAAACAACAACAACAACGGAAACAAAAAAAGAAGATTGACCACCGCAAAATGACGTCACCCAAATAATTTTTCAAGCCGACTTACATGTGACGTGGCGCGGTGCTGTTTTCAATTTGATATCTTACAAATATATTTCTCTCTCTTCCTCCCTCTCTCTCTCTCTCTCTCTCTCTCTCTCGACACGTGTATAATGTTTACAAAAGCGCACAAACAACTTTTATAACCCTAAAATTATCAACGACTAAATAAATTAAATTAAGGAACGAAATTGATAAAATTATTCTTTGTATTCCTCTCTCTCTCTCTCTCTCTCTCTCTCTTTCTCTCTATTTCTCTATTAATTTTTCCATATAACCCAAGGCAAACATTAGGATATTGCATGAAAAAAATATAGATAAACCAAATAATAATACTCGGATGTATGTATGTGTGTGTGTATGTATGTGTGTGTGTGTGTGTGTGTGTGTGTGTGTGTGTATGTATGTATGTATGTATGTATGTATGAATGTATGTATGTATGAATGTATGTATGTATGTATGTATGTATGTATGTATGAATGTATGTATGTATGTATGTATGTACTAATAGTTATTTATGACTTTATTGCTATAGGCGATGTTGATGACGATGACTAGAATAATAACAATAATAATAACAATAATAACAACAACGATGATAAACATATTAAAAATACTGTTAATTTTAATTACTTCATATTATCATTATAAAAATTCACGTTAATGTATGGTAATTTATGCAAATTTATGCAAAAATATCACCACCACCAGCAACACCCTCATCTTCTTCGTCATCATCTTCATCATCGTCATCTTTTTCTTCATCGTCATCATCTTCTTCATCGTCATCTTCATTTTCAGATGGACAATTAATGCAGAGGTTTCTAACTGGAGATATTACATACGATAAGATTTGTAAGATCGTTGTTGTTGTTGTTGTTGATGTTGTTGTTGATGATGATGTTGTTGACGATGTTGTTGTTGATGATTTTTTCTATTAATACAAACAAAACCTGCCAACAAACATACACACAACCAAACATACAAACAAACATACAAACAAACCAACAAACATACACGCACACACAAACAAACATTTAATAAGCCAGTGACCGTCCAAGTATTTTCTGCCATTTATATACAAATATATTACATTCTACCTATATCAATACATCCAATAATATCATAACTCTTTCTTCCTACATCTCTTCTCTCCCTCTCTCCCCCTCTCTCTCTTTATCTATTTTTTATTATAAATATTGTTTATTGTTTTGTTTCTTTGTTCATTTTCTTTGTTTATACCCTACATTCGTTCATTTTTCGGTCTATCATTCAAAAAAAGATATCACTACTACTACTACAACTACTACTGCTACTACCACTACTGCTACTACTACCACTACTACTACTACTACTACAACAACTACTACTACAACTACTACTACTACTACAAATAATAATATTATTATTATTATATATAAAAATAATATATCAATATTTATATTTTCTGTCGGTCAATTTGAGATTGGACCTATTGATAAATAAGCCTGATAACATTTGTATGTATGTATTTATGTATGTATATATGTATGTATGTGTGTATGTATGTATGTATGTATGTATGTATGTATGTATGTATGTATGTATGTATGTATGTATGTATGTATGTATGTGGCGTGCTTTGCTTTTGGTTGGGTGGTCTGACCGATTGATTGATTTATACACTCATTCACTTTTTCATTCATTCACTCATTCATTTATTCACTCATTCATTCATTCTTTCATTCATTCATTGACTGAATAATTGATTGATTGAGTGAGTGAGTGGGTGATAGATTGTGTAATAGATGGATAGGTTGGCCATGTAAATATGATAAATTACCATAATTATAGATTTTGGTATAATTTTTTATGATTGATTGATTGAAAAGTTGATTGATGATTGTAATATCATTAGTTGATTGATTGATTTGAGAGTTTGATTGACTGATTGTTGTGATATATTTTGTTATGATTGTTTTGACTGATTTATTGATATTTTTTGGTATTGTTTATACTTTTTGAATGACATTTTCTTATCTAACTTTTTTTTTAACTTCACGTATGTATCTAATCTAGGTATATGTATGTGTGTGTGTATGTGTGTGTACGTGTGAATGAATGCACGTACGTAAAACACAGTGGTTGAGTTGCAGTTACTGAGATGACATTTATTGAATGATTGGCGTGTATGTTTGTTGTAGCGCAGAAGAAAAATACTGATATTTATATTTGTATGTATGTGTGGTTGTTTGTTTATTTGTGTGTGTACATATGTTTGTCTGTGTGTGAGTATGTTTGTTAGTATGTTGTGAGTATGTATGTATGTATGTTTGTATTTATGTATATATATATATATATATATATATATATATATATATATATACATACAATGATACTTTATAGGCGCTATCGAGTGATGTGACAATGTAAATGTTTTCTGCCTGAATTGTGAAAAAGGTTAGAGAGAAAGAGACAAAGAGAGAGGGAGAGAGAAAGAGAGAGTGAGAAAAAGAGAGAGAGGGAGAGAGAGAGAAACAAAGAGGAAAGAAATGAACCAAGTTTATCAAATGCAAAGAAATATTTGAAACGTTATCACTAACTAATTTGAAATGGGTGTAAGAAAATTACGGAATACAAATTGAAAAGATCATCCTTTGTTTTTTTTTCGTTATAAACAATAAGAATCAGCCAGGTTTTGTTACACGTACACACACACGCACATACACCACACACGCACACACCACACATACACACACACACGCACACACACACGCATTAGGGTTAGGGTTATGATTCGTAATACCAAAAAACACATACTACTGCTATTATTATTACTACTACTTCTATAACTACTACTGCAGCTACTGCTGCCACTACTACTACTACAACTACAATAACAAAAACAATAATAAATATAACAATAATCATAATAGTAATAATAATAATAATTTTTCAGCTTCCTACAACGAAAACCATCACAAAAACGACAACAACAACAACAGTAGTAATAATACTGGTTTATTTGTTGGAGTAACTCTAGTTACAGTACTGCTTCTAACTGTTGTTGTTGTTGTTGTTGTCATTGTAAGGTGCCGAAAAAAGACTACTTCGTGTTAGTAATGTTTGTATTTTTCAGTCAATTTAGGTTGCTACTGTTGTTGCTGCTGCTACTACTACAACAACAACAACAACAACTACTACTACTACTACTACTACCACTACTACTTCAACTACTACTGCTACTACTACTGCTGCTGCTACTACTACTACTACTACTACTACTACTACTACTACTATTTCAACTACTACTACTACAACAACTACTACTACTTCTACAAGTTATAATATTAATATTAAATATTATTATTATCATAATTTTTATTATTATCCCGAGATGTTTTAAAAACATTTGCCATGCTTCGTCATAACACGGGGCGTATCTTTACTTAAATAAAATTACATTGTTTAAATTATTATTATTATTATTATTATTGTTGTTGTTGTTGTTATTATTATTTTTATTATTATTATTATTATTTCAATAATTTTTCTTCCTATAGCACCTCAAGACAAACTAGTTTCTCAAGTTCAAGGTTAAAAACAATAATAATAATAATAACAGCCTAGATATGTAATATGTCATAATAATTCCTCCAAAAACGCAGATATATACATGGCTCCAGAAGTTACAAGATCTTTGTTAATACAGCAGCAACAACAACAGCAACAACAATGTTTATTATCGCTCAACAACAACAACAATAATAATAATAACAATCATATCAACAACAACAACATAGGCAACAGCATTAACAACATAGGCAACAAAAATTATAATGTTAACAACACTTTGAATTATTCAAACTCTTTATGTCCAAATTTTTCAAACTACGACAACAACAACAACAATAACAATAATAATAATAATAGCAATAATAACAACATTAACAACAACGACGATGATTATGATGATGAGTCTCCATACTGTCGGTTGAATTTTCCACTTGAATGCAACAACAACAACAACATCAATAATAACAACAATAACAACATCAACAATAATAATAACGATTTAAACAACAAACACAACAACAGTATTGATAATCGAAACGATACTCAGCTGCAGACGTTGTTGATACAACACTTAATACATCAACAACAACAGCACCGCAACATCAACAGCTTAACAACTCGTTATAATTTACCTCATTCGTTGTCGTCGTCTTCGTCATCTTCATCATCAACCTCTAGGAAGAAAGGTAATTGTATTAGAAACAGCAACATCAACAACAACAACAACAACAACCACATCAACAACAACAACAACAACAACATCAACAACAACAACAACAACAACAACAACAACGTCAACAACAGCGACATCGATAACCTCTATCACAATCTCACCCCAGATCATCATCAACAGCAACAACAACAACAACAACAACATCTCCAATATACCAACAACCAAAATCTTAACAACAACAACATCAATCATCATCATCATCACCATAATCATCATCAAAACTGTTTCCGTTATTCTCGCCAGCTTAACTTTCCAACTGGCGAGGTGGTCTGGCGATGGTTCGACAACAAGAGCGGAAAAATTTCACTAGAAAATTCTGGTTGGTTGGTTGAGTAGTTAGTTGATTGGTTGGTTGATTGTTTAATTGATTGGTTAGTTGATGAATACATATATATATATATATATATATATATATATATATATATATATATGTTGGTAAAAATAAATATATATATATATATATATATATATATATTAAAAGTTAATTGATTAGTTAATTGATGAATATTATATTGATAATTGATCGATTGGTAGATTGTCTTTCTTTTGAACATAGCATATAGTAACAAATTTCATTTATTTTTCAACACCAGACATTAGCCTAACGGTCCTAAATGGTTCATTAAAACCTCAAACGACAACAACGACAGCAGCAACAGCAACAGCAGTTACCACAACAGCCACAGTGGCGGCTACAACAGCCACAAAACCGTTTTCAAACGGTGGCTTTGACAGAGACGATGATGTCGTTGTTGAAATGTTTCTAGCAGTATCAAGGGACGATAAGGATAGGCCGAAGCTGGCCGGTTTGTGAAACAACTATCATACTATCATCATCATCATTATCATCATCATTATTATTGTTATTATTATTATTATTATTATTATTTCCCGCTCCACCAGAAAATCAGACGATACTATCACCAATCATACTCTGCGGTCCCGGGTCAATTTCCTTGCATAAGCCAATCATCATATCCTTCCAACATTGCGCTAATCTCGCCAACACTTTCAATCATAATAACGTTAATAATAATAATAACAATAATAATAATAATAATAATAGTAATAATAATAATAATGCTGATGGTGATGGTGGTGATGATGATGGTGGCGGTGATGATGATGATGGCGTGGTTTCAAACAATCAATGGCTGTTATCGTTGTACGCTAGCTACGCTCCTTATGATGAGATTGCTCGCTGGCAGGTTACTATAATAATTTATATTATAAATAAATAGTAATTAATATTAAAAATAATTATAGTAATAATTATTATTATTATATTTATTATAATTAGGCTCTCACCCGCGTATTATAATTATTAAATATATTACGCGCGTGTTATTAGTCAAACCGGCCAATCATTGCTGATCAGTGAACAACGCATACCCAATTACAAAGTGGCTCGTTTCTATTTGACCAATCACGATCAATCGATTGAAATCAATCAACCAATCACAATCAGGTAATCTGTACAGCCTCGACTCCGAAAGACGATCACGTACCTCAAGCCTGCATCCAATTGGACGAAGAAAAATGTCACGTTATGACAGATCGACCAATAGCAATGCTCTGTTTAGTCGGCGAACCAATCAGCGACAGGGCAGTTGTTTCAAAGTATCTGCGATTGGCCGCTTTTGCTCCGCCCCTTTCGTCACTAATGACGTCATTGGCCGATTGTAATATTAGGATTTATATTCTCGAAGATACGTTTGACGCACTAGAAGTTCGTTGATTGGTTGACTTTTGATCGATTGATTGGTCGATTTGTTTGTTTGCCTGCTTGCTTTTTGGGTTATGTGATTGACAACATCATTATCATAACAACAACTATCGTCATCATCATCATCAACAACAACAAGAAGAACATCATCATCATCATCAACATCTTCCTCCTCCTCATCATCATCATCCTCATCATCCTCATCATCATCACCAGGGCGTACTACAGATAGAGAGAGATCTGGGTAGCTGTTTGATAGACAAGCCGAAAAGAATGCTCTTTTATTACAACAACAACAACCACAACAACAACAACAATAATAATAACACTAATAATAATTTATGCCTCTCCGTTCAAAGTGTTTCAGCCGGCTGGCGAAATAAAATGGATGTCGATTGTCAGGTGATGATGATGATGATGATGATGATGATTGTGATGATGATGATGATGATGACGACGACGATGATGATTGTGATGGTGATGATGGCGATGGTGATGATGACGATGATGATGATGATTGCGACTGTGATGATTTAAGTGTTTATGCGACTGTGATGATAATGATGATTGTGACGGTAATGATGATTATTTAAACCTAGATTAACTTTTAAACACAGGAAATCCCATTTAGTCACATTTGGAGTCTTTGCAGACACGGTCTACACTGTTCGATCACTCTTGAACGAACGAATGAACAACCAACCACAACCGCAACCACAACGACGACCGCACCTTCACAACAACATCATCTCCACAAACACCAACAACAACAATTTTTGTTGCGGCCGCCATCTTGTGACGTCAAAGTTTTTCAAAAACATTTTCCGGCCAACTGCCAAACATTAGAAATCGTCTGTGATTCTGTACCAGAGGTTTAAATTTGATTCGTTGGTTGTGAGGGGTTATTTTAAATTGAGAGTACTGATTGGTCGATATCTCGTTTATTAATTAACCATTTTTATACATTCATTCATTCGTTCGTTCATTCATTCATTCATTCATTCATTCATACATTCATTCATTCATTCATTCATTCATTCATCCATCCATCCAGTCTTCCACTGAAACCACGCCCGCCAAATCTCTTTCCGACGCTATGAACAAAAGAAACTCAGAGCTGGACGTAGAAGGGTTGGTTGGGCACTTATAATCATAATTTCTCCTTTCAATTATTCATAATTACATCATAATTATTCATAATTATAGTTCATCATTATCATTGTTATCTATTATGTTACAATTTTTCTCAAAAAGACCAAACTGCCCAATGCACAGGAAGATATGCCACGCGTCGTGTGACGATGGCGACGAAGAATGGAAATCTATAGCGCGAGCACTGTCACTAGACGAGTAATGAAAAATTGTTATCATAGCAATTATTATTATTGAAATTATTATCATAATTATTATTATTATTGAAATTATTATCATTATTATTATTGAAATTATTATTATTATCATAATTATTATTATTATTGTCGTTATTGTTATTGTTCTGTCAAGATATCTGGGGTACCTATCAACAAAGCCAAACAAGATGGAGGTGTTGCTGGGCTTATGGCAGGCCAAAAACCCCGGGTCCACGGCAATATTTGACCTACTTAATTCCCTTCGTCTGATTGGTCGACCAGACGTAGCTGACCTACTTTCAAAATCGTTTGACCCAGTTTCTTTGTAAACAAAAACGACGATGATGATGACGATGATGATGACGATGGTGTTATTGATGATTATGATGATGTCATTGTCGATCGTTTGTTTGATTTTTACACTTGTATATATATGCATGTATCATATTAATAATTGGTAGATTTAAATTGTTTATTATTATTATTGTTGTTATTGTTATTATTGTTATTAGTTATAGTTTAATTGTTTTCAAATTGTTTACCTCTTGATCATTTGAAGTCTTCAATAATGAAAAAAGCGTGTGCATTTATATTATATTTTTACATTTTATACGTGCATACAAACATACCTACGCACGCACACACACACACACACACACACACACACACAAACACAAACACATTATACACACACACGTACATACATTATACACGCACACGTACATACATACTTATAAACACATTTTTATAAAACTTTTTTCAACGGTTTTTAATAAAAAATTCAACCAAATACATCTTGATATGAACTTGGTATATGTACGTGCGTGTGTGCGCCCGCGTGTGTGTGTGTGCGTGTGTGGTGTGTGTGTGTGCGTGTTTCCGGCGCTTTATCTCTATGCTTAGTAGTCTTTAACGTATTTTTCCATATTACTTTCAAACTCAAATGCAGAGATAATTTTAGGTGTAAAATTAATAAACTTACATTTATTCCAATGCCAGGTTCGTAATTATTATAATTACAATCAGAATTATAACGAAAATAATAATTATAACCATAATAATAATAATTATTATTATTATTTTGTTATCGTTACGGCGTCTTCTTAATCATTTCAAACTATCAGACAATGGTTTCAAGTGCATGGGAATTCATTCCGAACCATCGTCAGAAGCAGTAGTAACAGCAACACTGATAATAGTAATTATAATAATAATAATAATAATAACATATAATAATAACAACAACAAGTCCATAACTGCAAAGCCCGAACATAATTCATAGTCGGGATTAAAAGTTCGATGCTGTTGTATATTTTTTTATTTGTTCATATTTTCATAATTCATTAAACTGTAATAATTTATTTATTTACACACCACACACACACACACACACACACACACACACACACACACACACACAGAGCCTACAGAGCCTAGGCGATGAAGTCCTTGATGAACGCTCTACTTAAACACTATAACATGTCTGAGATCTGAGATATTATAATTTATAATTAGTAAATTTATTTGAACAGATTATTATTAGTAAATTTATTTGAATAGATTGCTTCAAGATGTTTGCTACGTTCCACTTGAACGTTTCAAACGTTAACCCTTGTCCCTTTAGCTATAATTCTTCAGTCACAATAATCTTTTTAAATGTGATATTTTTAGTAACTTTTCAACTTCTTATAGTATTTCTATCACACCTGGGCAAATAACGTGAGTTGCGTAAAATTTCAAAATCATTTTCATTCATTCATTTGTCCATTCATCAATCTGTTTGGTTGATCATTCTTTCATTCAGTTGTTCATTCATTCATTCGTTTGTTTTATTATTCATTCGTCTTATCGATCCTTCATCCATTCATTTGTATATTCATTCACTCATTCAATTATGTGTGTGTGCATTCCTTCATCTAGTTATCCATTCATCCATTAATTAATTAATTCATTAATGCAAGCATAACAGCTGTTTTTCATTAATTCATTCACTCATTCACACATTCATTCTTACACACTCATTCAATCGTGAATTTGAGTTTAACTTTCAGCAATGGTAATGCATGTTTGCTTATGTGTTTAGCTCTTTAAATTATATGAAACTTTCAACATCTGTTATGTATTACATACATGTGTTTATATAAATATTTACATAAATACATAAAGTGTATCTGTTTTGTTAGTAATAAACAATATATTTATAGCTAATGCTAACAAAAATTTCTATTTTCAACAACAATAAGGCTATATATATAGATATATATATATTTATATATATGTATAAATTTAGATGGCTTACCATATTCTTATTTTACATCGGTGAACGAGCTGAACATTGTTGTATTCACATTCTTACAGAGTGGGTTTCCCCACTAATGTGGTATGTTATATAAAGATGAATAGAGCGTAATTTTTTTATATCTTCCTAATTTAAAATTATCTTTGAGGCATTAGTAATATTTCGTAATTTAAATTTGTCAAATCAGAATAGAATTAAAATATACATTTTTATTTAAAATTTTATATATCTCACCTTACCTTTGTCCTACGATCTCTGATAAAAATTGGGATGAGTGATACCCCTAGCAGCGTAAAAAATGAATGTAGAAATCAATTAATAAGCGAAGACGACAATACACTAATCATCAGTTTGTTACGAGATGAATTGAGAACTGAAAAAAACAAAGTTCAAGCTCTGGAAAATTCCTTGAAGGATGAACAAAAGAAAAGTATGGGTCTAAAGGTAAAAATTAGGAAATATATGTATGTATTGTATATGTGTGTGTCAATAAATAAACATATGTTTTTTTAATAAGTAATATAATTTTAAATAAATATTGTTTTAATAATTTAAATTTTTATTAAAAGGTGATGTTGGAGCTAGCAGAAGGCTACAAAAAAGAGAACAAACTGCTGAGAAGCAAGTTAAGACATTACAAAACTTTTATCAAAGAACAGAATAACGCTGCCTCCCCAGTGTCCTCGCCATCTTTAGTGAAAAAAAATCAACAAAGCCAGCTGGAATATAATGATAATATCATGGAAGAATCTCACTTTCCAAAGTATAATAATGAAAATAATAATAATTTAGTGGAATCAGAAGTTTTCACGTTTCAAAGAAGTTGTTTATTGGACTGTCAAAATAATGAAATCTTTCCCGAAACTAAATTCTCATCCATCATTCGTGCATTGATTGGCGACCAGAAACCAGAATTTAAGCATGAGTATTGCAGGCCACATGATCCTATTTCGAATAAAAATGTTTCTTGCACTGAATGTATGAAATGTAAAGAAAAAGATATTGTAGGTTTTTTGGGTCTTTTTTTTATTTGTGGTCTTTTCGTTTTTTTTATATTCCTGTCTGTGCTTCATATTCATCCATTCATTTTTTTGTTCATTCATTCATTCATTTAACCACGCTTTTTTATATTCATTACATGTGGTGTTATTTTATTCATCATCATTGAAATTGTACCTCTGATCATTTTTCAATGTCTCCCAATTGTTCCACGTCTCTCTCTCTCTCTCTCTCTCTCTCTCTCTCTCTCTCTCTCTCTTTTCATTTTTTTTCTCTCTTTCACAAACACACTCCCTCACTTCTCTCACTATTTCCTTTTTTCTCTTAGAAAATTCACCGATATGAAGAAAAAGTAATGGAGTATGAAGATGAACTGACAAAAGCAGAATGGCACCTCCAAGAGGCCATCAAAGAGAAGCAGGAAATTAGTGAAAATTTCCAGATCATGAAAATACAGTTAGACGTCTACAAAGCTGACTTTCAGACGGAGAGAGCTGACAGGGAGAATGCCATGGACAGGGTCGCTAATTTAGAAAAGCAGTTGAGAGTATTGCAGGTTGTGGAACTTTTTTCCTCTTGATGTTGATTAAAATGTCGTATTACGTTAAGTTGTCTTAATATTTTTAATCTTTTTTTACATTACAGACGGAAGAGGTAAAAATCGATCCGTTGCCATTCATTCCTCTACAGCCCAACACTTTTCCTCTAACTCGAAATCCTACCTTACCTCCTCAGAATCCTATCTATACTCAACAACACTCTGAAGAAATTTTAATAGGTAGGGGAGCAAATTATGCACCTAGATTTTCTCATACATCAAACAGTAACTTTCACAAAAAAAATAACTTAACTGGCGACGAAAATCAATCCGCCAAAAAATCGAAAACTTCGAAGGTGGATGCAATTGCTGAGCGTGAATCTCCGCTGTCGAATTCGTTTGAGAACTTAAACTTGCTACCGGGCGATCATGGGGGCGATGATTTTTTGCCATGAATTACTCATAAATCTTTTACTTTTTGTTTTGTAACTTTTATTTTAAAAAATTTTATATGTTATCATGGTATTATGTGAAGATCAAATTGATGCAGTGGCTGTAAAATGCGATGGTAATATTTTTGGGCAGTGTTCCATGACCGTTTTACGCTTTTTGTTGTTTTAATTATTCTAAGAGAAATGTGATATTTTTGTTGTTTTACGTTTGAAAAATTTCGTTTAGAAAGTGTTTTCTCGCGTTATCATAGTAGATACACGAGCTGGAGTAAGAGTTCGTTCAAAGTGTGTTTAAGTGTATGGCGTATGATGCTAAAACTCACGTTGCGTTACAATTTATTTTAGCACATCACTAAATTTTGATAATAAAGAAAATGGCAGAATCGAAATCTGATGTTTCAGGTAGAAATTTACTAATTACTAGTCAAAAATTACGAAACTTTATATTATTTTTTAAAATTTTAAATTTTCAGAATCAATAAATCAAGCTGGTAGATGCAATCGCGTCCATTTTCCAGCGGAACAGCTGGACAGACATGATTCCCGTATTATCGTCAATGGGGATGCCGATTGTAAGTGCCTCGATGTACATCTTGGGTTTCTACAACTTCTCCACGATTACCACATCAATTTCAGAATTCCGGACAAATTAGGGAAAGATCTCGTCTGCGACCCATTACAGAATTTAAATGTTCAGTTGCTAGAAGCTGTACCCACAGATAATGGTTGGTGTGTTTTTTTTATAATTTAAAATTTTATTAATTGTTTCGTATTTTGATTACCAAATAATGTTGTTATTATTTATCATTTAAATATTGTTCTAGTTAATGAAATGTGTAATTGGGGAGAATTTTGATTTAGTTTTTGTTTGTTTTGCTGTATGTATGTGTGTGTATGTATATGTATGTGCATCTTTCACTGATTGGCATTAGGTCATGAACTGCTGCTAAGTTTCAAAGCTCAAAAGGAAAAGTTAATGAAGGAAGAACTCATAATTAACAGTGCAACTGATTCAGATGCTCACATCAAACTCATATTACACGCTAGAGTTTTAGGTTAAAAAATTTCAAAAATATTTATCTAACTAAATTAACTTTCAAGCATTATATTTCCAATTATGTTATTCACTTAATGAGTGGAGTACCTGTTAATTGTAATTTTTTATTTTTTCTCTAATTCTAGGAAAAGGAAAAGGAACGCCTGCTTTAAGATCTGGAGTCCATTGTATAAAAGTTCATGCTGATGATGAAGATTCTCATCTAAGTGATTGGCAGGGATTTGATTGAGTAACATTAACAAGATTAATTAATTTATTTTAATTAATAGGCCAAACAATTTTTTAAATTAAAAAAGTAAGAAAAATAGAAATTGTGTATGTGATTCTAAAATGAATACTCATTCACTCATATTACAGCTTGAATCTAAAATTTCATTTTTTTTTCCTAACCCTTAATCCCTGCATCCAAGAACAAACAATTGCATAATAATATATTATTGTTATTTCATATAAATTTATTATTAATGTTATTATTGTTAGCAGTAGTGTTATCCTCATATGAAATAGATTATACATGTAAAAGTAAGTTAACTTAATATGCTCATAGATTTATATATATATATATATATATATATATATATATATATATATATGTTGGTAATAGACCATAATTTTTACAATATTCTATAAATTCTACCGAATGTTTGGCGTTAATATGTTTGTAGTTCGTTTTTTTGATTTTTCTCAAGTTTTTTTGTGAACGTTTAGTTTATTAAAATTATACATGTAAAAGTAAGTTAACTTAATATGCTCATAGATTTATATATATATATATATATATATATATATATATATATATATGTTGGTAATAGACCATAATTTTTACAATATTCTATAAATTCTACCGAATGTTTGGCGTTATTATATATATATATATATATATATATATATATACGTGTTTGTGTGTATAAATATATAGATAATATGATTTTCTTCTTTATATTTTCTCAAGTTTCTTCATATTCTTATAATTATGTGTAATTCATTAGTTATAATTATTATTATTGTTCTAAGTTATTTATTAAATTTAACTTTTTTTAATTAATTAGCTAATTTTATTTTATATTTTAAATAATTTTTGTTGCTTTTTTTGTTTTAAAATTTTGCAAGAAACATCCATGCATAAAATTTTGATCTTCTTTCAATAGAAAATAAAATGTTTATCTAACTACTTTCAAACTAGATTTTTCATTGAAAGTGAACACAAAATATAAATTGCCTAGAAAAGTTGAAACAAAAATTATAACAAGGAATATTTAACATATACATAAAAAGTAAAAATCAAACGGTGAAAAAAGTAACGTAAAATGACCATATAATGCTGAATAGTTTGTGTAAAAAATGAATATTTAAGCTAACAAACAATAACGATATAAATTACATTATGGCCTAACATAAACGTCGAAATACATGTATAACGTCTCAAGGTCGAAATTCGTTCCTGAGTATGGTTATTGAGGAGTGACCTCTATATTTTGGTGATTTTAATAACCCTTGTTGTGTTTCTTTTCTTCCTTTTTTTCTTCCTTTCAATGGCATCATCATCCTCTCTCGCCAAGTACTTCAAAATATTTTGCCTAAGAGTGCTCGTAGCATGAATGAAAAGTGATATTTCTGTATCATAGGTTCTCAGATCTTCATTGCTACTTCCAACTGAATTGAGTAGATTCGCAAGTAAGCTGTTTTGTTCCGCTTTGCAGTTTCGTTTCGTTGTTTGCCAGAACTTTGCAAGGATGCAGTGTACGTGGCCCAGATCGCGATTGTGGCAACATTTGACGTTTTCGACGATGTGTTCGTATAAACAGCGTACGACTTTTAGCGCCTCCGTGAATTCAGAATTTTTCCTAAAATTCTGGAAAATGTTAAGAATGAAATATTAGTTAAATTTCAAGGTTCAATTTATAATTTATCCTAAAATGGAAAAATTTTAGTTTTAAAATGAAATTAAAACTTTTCGTTCTTACAGGGTATTCTGTAAACCAGGAGTTAGCGATCAGTGTGGTATGCAGGGTTCTGTAGTTCCTTGATGATTCATCTTTCTTCTTCAGATAAAAATTTACAATTATATATGGAATTTATTCAACATGTACTTGAGTTATTAGTTTGTAAAGATTGTTTATCAAAGTGTTTTCAAACAACATCCATTCAATCATAATTAACGTTAAAATTAATGAAATATAAACTAACCGGATAAATTTTTTCCAATTTTATCAGTTCAGTCTCTAAATTTGTGAGAATTTGTCTGAATCCCGCCTTTTTTGTAAATGCCGCTAAATTTATTGTTGCATCATCAATCGGAGAAGTGTTGTGCGAGGCTGCTGCAGTCCAAGCTACCAGCACGGCTGCAAACATTCGAGTTATAAAATCTGGAAATTGAAAAAATTAAATGCTAAATTAAGTTGAATGAATCGAAGGACACTTGTCCTACATTTGTTGATAGGCAAAATTAAAAAAGTAAATCTACTAAACAAACACATACTCATTGTAGAATAATATATTTGAAAATATTTCGAATTAATGATATCTTCTAACATTGCTTTAAATAGATGGAGCACTTCTGTCAAACAATTGGTGTTTTCTATAATTTTCTTCAACCCCTCTCCATTCTACTAAATTTCCATGGTTTCCACCAAAATTGCCAATAAAATTTAAAATTTATGTAACAGAAAAGCCATTTTTATCTGAACGCACATATGACAAGAATCTACACAACTTAACACACCAGCCGAAAGCTGAACAATAGAGGAGGTTTATAATGAATTAACAAACCGAGAGTTTCGGTCTTACGGGTTTTTCATCTATTTCTTGATTCTTATGTACATTTCAAAACATTTTACATTTATACCATATATGGTAGACATAATGTCATTTGAAAAACATTTTACATTTATACCATATATGGTAGGCATAATGTCATTTAGCCAGTTTGGAATATGACGAGCAATTACGTACATTTTATGTACATGTGCATGCCAAAATAATACACATACACATAGCAATACACAAACACACTCTTGCTTATATTCAATTGATTAATATATTTAACTTTTATAATACAAAATTGTTAACATTGTTTTTAATTGCAATATAAATAAAACTATTTTATGGTAAACCGTAAAATATAAATTACACTGTTTTCACTAAAAGCCTTTACACACACTCGAAGTATATAACCGTATACAACTCTATGTAACTCTATACAACTCTATATAACTCTATATAACCTATATAATCCTATATAACTCTATATTACTCTATAAAAATTTATAAAACTATATAACTCTATACAACTTTATACAAACCTATATAGTTCTATGTAACTCTTTATAACTTTATAACCCTATAAAATCCTATAAAACGCTATATAACTCTATATATTCTTATATAACTCTATATAACAGCCTATCCTTTAACTCTGCTGTTCGTCTAGCTGATAGTGCTTATTTCTTTTCTCATATATCCCTATATCTTGTTCTTTTGCAATGGCTACCTATAAACTACAGAATAATTTTTAAAATGTGCACTTAATGTATAAGTCTCAATCTAAATTATTTCCTAAGTACTTATAAGATATATTAATTGAACCTACACTCCCCGGTTTACAATCGTCTTTTTGTACTCACTTCTTGTTAACTCGTGTTAAACACTTTTTTGCTAAATCTGCATTTGCCTTTTCTCGCCTTTCTCTCTGGAACCCTCTACTTTCTTCTCTGACTATACTTCTCAATCACTTACAAAGTCAAAGCGGATCTCACTCACACTCAAAGTCAAAGCGGTACTCACTTCTTGTTAACTCGTGTTAAACACTTTTTTGCTAAATCTGCATTTGCTTTTTCTCGCCTTTCTCTCTGGAACCCTCTACTTTCTTCTCTGACTATACTTCTCAATCACTTACAAAGTCAAAGCGGATCTCAAGACTAGAGGCTAGTATGGGAACATCCATACTGAAGTAAATCTGCATTTTTAAAAAGTTGTGTTTTTTGTGTTCAGAAATTTTGAAAATGGAAAAAATGGGAAACGGGAGGAAATGGGAGGGAAGACCTGGGAATAAATTAAAAAAATAGGAAATGGAAATTTTCGGAAACGTTGTCATAAATGAGTATTCTGGAGAGAATCGGGAATGAGAAAAAAATATTAAATGGAATTGGTAACAAATTTCTATTTCACTCTACCTCTAATTCGAATATTGAATAAATCGATGTCGGTAATTTACACCGTTAATACTCGATTTAAAGTTATTGTCAAATAAAGGTACATTAATTAATTCGTTCCAGCACTGTCAATATTTAAAGCACCGTTAAAATGTTTATTTTGTTTTATTTAAATAATAATTTCATTTAAATACAGTTTTATTTTTATCTCTTTCAAAATTAGCTTCTAATTGCTATTTTTTGCGCTTTTGAGTGTTATTAGTGAGAAAAAAAATTTGAAAAATTTTGATCATATTTTTTTGTCGATGATCAAAATTTGAAATTGATTATTAATTTAATTAATATTTTAATTAATAAATATTTAATTTATGAAATTAACTAATTAAAATTTAAAAATTACTGATTTTGATTTAAATATATTTAATATTAATTATGAATATTGTAATTTAATTTGAAAAGAAAAATGCAAAAATTTCTTAAACATTTGGGCCTAAAAAGAACCACAACTCCCAATAATACTACAACCACCACTAATTCCATAAGACACAATGTGTTATTTGGATCCGGAGAGCCGGCTGGTGTACAAAACATCAGTGAAGATTTCTTTACTTTTCGAATGGTTTGTGTTTGTTTGTGTGCTTTTTGTCTGTGTTTCTGTGTTTGCTCTTTGTCTTTGTTTCTCTGTTTGTTCTGTGAGTCTTTGTCTATGTTTCTGTTTGCTCACTTGTTGAAAACATTTTTTTAGTACTTTTTATTTATGCCTAAAATATTTAAAATTATTTATATTAAAGAATGTAACCCCTCAATCAATCAACCAAAATACCACTCAATCATTCAATCTATCTATCAATCAACCAACCAATTAATCAATCAAATAATAAAAAAAAACAAACTAGTTTGGTACCTGTGGGTTCCCAAATAAACCATCTAACTTAGCTGTTGATGAAGATTTAGGACTATTAGCTATCACAACAAAAACTGGATCCTTGCATATGTTAGCAATTATTATTATTATTATTGTTATTATTATTATTGTTATTATTAATTATTATTTCTTAGATTTGGCAGGCCAGGAATACATTTCCAAGGCTCACATTCAGACAATGTTAATGCACAGTCACCAATAATATATGCTGCCTTTTTCAGTGGAAAAGTATTCATTCATTCATTCATTTATTTGTTCATTCATTCATTCATTAATCTATTATTTATTTGTTCATTTATTCATTTACTCATTCATTTATTTATTCACTCATTCATTTATTCATTCATTCATCCCTTCGTTCATGCGTTCATAGTACTTGAGTAAATTCTTTTTTTTTTTTTTAAATATTAATTTTAAATTTTCAGTCCAAAATTGTAACAGTAGATGGCAACAATGCCATAGTCCTTTGGAGGATTAAGGCTGCCAGTAACAACAACAACAGCAACAAATGTAAAGAGAATGATAACACATATCAGAACAGTGGTGATTAAATTTATATTACTTGAATCTTAAAGTTATTGCTAATCATTCATTCCATCATTCGGTCAGTTGATCAAGCAATCATCCAATCAGAGTTTTCTCATTTTATAGCATAGAGCTACTGGAAACTTTTCTATTACCAACAGATACACACACAAACATTTACGCACAGACACACACATACATAAACACATGCATATGCATAAATACACTTTTCAAAAAATTCATAATGATGTTTTGTATGGCCTATGATTTGCTTGCTATTGAACTCGGTCACAACTTAACGTAACGTGACCAGACGTTCTACCGCTACTCTACGCTAATACTCCATTATAGATCCACTTTTCGCATTTCTCCCAAGTCCTAATTTCTATTTGAAATCTGTTTTTTAGACGAGGGAAATGTCTTCTTCAGTAAAGGCAGGGAGCATGAGTTTGATGAACTTTTCGGCAAGGCTATAACGCACTGCCGCCTCGACGAACGCCCTCAAAACAACAACAACAACAACAACAACAACTACAACAATAATAATAATAATGATGATGATGAGGGTAACGACGATAGAATCAGTTCGAAGTTACTCATCGGGACTTCATGTGGTGATGTTGTCATCATCAGCATAAGGACATCAGGCGGTCGTAATGATAATGATGGCGACGATGGCGATGATAATGATGATCGTCGTCGTCTACGTCACGGAGATCGTGATGACGCTGCTGCTGGCGACGATGACGTCATTATATTTAGTGACCTCAAAAATCCCGATGAACGTTGTTGTAGCTGTCGTCATAATTATAAAAATAGTGGTGGCGGTAATAATAATAATAATAACAATAATAATGATGATAATAATAGTAATAATAATAATAATAGTAATAATAATAATTATTTTGACGGCGACGATGGTAATAATAATAGCTATTTCGCTGACCGTGATGATGGTGGTGATGACAAGAAATACGTTTTAAGGGCTGACAGCGTTATCATTGATCAGTGAGTTGACGAATTATATAATTTATTATTATTTATTATTATTTTATTATTATTATTATTAATTTATTATTATTATTACTCTTCATAATAGATTCCCAGATGAAGAGATAAGGTATCTAGGCTCCGTTGTATGCATAGACCTCCATCCGACTCAATACAATAAGGTACGCGCACCACACATACATACACACACACGTACACACAGACACACACACGCACGTACACACACACACACACACACACACACACATACATACTTGCAGATTATAGTCGGTTACTCACTGGGAATAGTGACACTCTGGGATCTAGATGCGTGCTTACCCCTACTGATATTTAATTCATTTCAGGTTCCATTACCACCACCACCATCGTTATTATTATTATTATTAATTATAAGTAATAATATAATATAATTATATCCATTCATCCATCTCAGCAATTAGAGAGTCTGTCTTTCAATCACAATGGCACCGAGTTCATATCAAGCTATTCTGACGGTAGTTTCGTAGTATGGAACACCGATGATAATTCTCAGCCCAGGGAACCTGCCACTACGCCATACGGTCTTCAAGAATAATTTTATTTATTATATTAATAAATATAATTATAATTTATTATGTAATTATATCTAAATAAGGGTAAAATTATTCATTATAATAATAAAATAATCATGATTAATATAGTAAAAATACGTATGTTGGTTAGTAGTAAGAAATAAATTACTACTTAAATGATGTCAATTCGACCCTAGGTCCGTATCAGTGCGAGGCCATAGATAAATTTCTATGGAAAACCAACGAAAGCACATCTCTGATGGTGTTCTCCGGCGGCATGCCCCGATCCGGATACGGAGATAGGTACACGGTCACGATTATGAAGCAAGAGGGGGGGGCCAGCAGTCCCGACCAATCCCACGTCGTCCTAGATCTGACGTCACGCGTCGTCGATTTCGCGGTCGTTGGCGAAAGAAAATTCGCGAATTTCTATTCCAAAAATGATGATGATGATGAGGAGGAGGATGAAGATGAAGATGGCGAAGAACGCTGTGGTGATAATGGAGAGAAAGAGAGAGAGGAGGAAAGAAATGGTTTGTTTATTAATTTATAAATTGTGTGTGTGTGTATGTGTGTGTGTGTGTGTGTTTGTCTGTATTCAATTTTTTAATATTTTACATTTTAATTTTATATTTTGCATTTTACTGAATTAATTGTTTTTCTAAAAAAAAACAGGTAAAAATAAAAAACTGGCTAGGAAATCATCGTCAACCAAATCAAAAACAGCGGCGGCGGCCAACAACAACAACAGCAGCAACGACGACAATAACAACAACAACAGCGTCACGAAAAAACATCACCAAAACCACAAATCAACGAAATCCAAATCATCCATTTCATCATCACTTCGTTCCCACAACAACAACAACAACAACAACCACGATGGCGACAACAGCACATCTCTAATCCCTAACTTCCTAATCTTACTGGCCGAGGAAGAGCTAATAGTGGTCGATCTAATGGCCCACGACTGGCCTTCTTATAGACTGCCTCATTTAATAAGCCCCCACTGCAGCGCTATAACAAGCGTTTACTTCGCGCCGGAAATTAGTGAAGATTTTTTGAAGAAGTTAAAAGAGGCTGGAGTCATGCAGAGGAGGAAAAATTTGAATTACATGTGGAAGGTTTGATGGAAGAATGAATGAGTGACTGCATTCGTGAATGAATGAATGAATGATGAATGAATGAACGATCGGATGAATCGATGAAATATTTATTCTTGTAACAGTCCTGGCCATTTTTGGGTGGCCAATCACAATTCGCCAACGACAGCCAGTGTAACCTACTACTTACTGGGTTGGTTTACTCTATTAATTTATTCATAAATTCACATAATTTATTCATAAATTCACCTAATTTATTCATACATTTTCTTAATTTATTCATAAATTTACTTAATTTATTCATAAGTTTGTTAATCTGTTCACCACGCGCTTTCACGTCAATCAATCGTCACAACCTACAAACAAGCACATCCCTATTTATCCCCCAGTCACGAGGACGGATCGGTCAGGTTCTGGTTAACTGAGTTTGGCGATATGCAGTTATTGTATAGGCTGGATACTGCTCATATATTTGACATTGACGTTAATAACCATTCAGAGCTTAATAACGATTCCGATGAAGATTGGTTACCTTTTAAAAAGGTGCGTGCGTGTCTTTCGTGTGTGTGGCGTGTGTGTGTGTGTACGTGTGTGTACGTGTGAAGAATGATGTTGACACGAAAATCATATTTGTGTCTAGGTAGGTTCGTACAACCCTTTCACTGACGACCCTCGACTGGCCATTCGTCAGATCATTCTAGACACATCCACTCAGCCGGAAACCCTAATTTTAGGCGGGACCGCCGGCCAGCTTATCGTTTGCGAGTTTACCACTTTATATAAACAGCAGTCACAACAAACATCTCAAAGCCAACAAAAGATACAAAATATGAACAAAGATGGCGCTAGAATTAGCAACTGTGGTGGTGATGATCATGATGTTGTGGCTGATGGTGCTGATGATAATGATCTGCCTAATACGCAACCGATTGGAGATACCCTTTTTATGAATGCTACTGTACATGAACGGAGAGTTGAGAGTGAAGATGGCGATGTTTTCGTTGCTGGGGACAGGAGAAATAATGTTAAAACTACGCCATCTGCATCGTCTGCGGCACAAATAACTTCAGCAACGACAAGAAACAACATCAATGGCTGCAGCAGCAGCAACAACGACAACAACAACGAGAATGTGAACAACAATAACAACTTTTCGACGAACGTCACATCTTCCCTGTCGAAAGACGAAAACCAATCTCACGCACGCACGTCGTCGTCGTCAACCACAGCATCCTCATCGTCTTCATCATCGTCTTCCTCATCATCATCATCATCATCTTCGACGGGCACATCTCGAACGAAGGAGATTCAAGTTCTTTCCGTCAACATGATCGGCCAGAGGGAGGATTTCCTCTGGATGGGTCACACCCCTTTGGAAGTTGGATGCGCCTACAGAAACAAAACAACCCTCGGTGACGTCACGGCCCAGTTTATGACGTCATCAGCAGCAACAACAGGCTGCGACGCTACTGCTACTACTGATTCTAGTAACGTTGCCACTACTTCTTCTGCAGCTGCTGCTGCTGGTACCAATGTTAATGTTACTATTGACGGCGATCGTAAACGTGGTAGTCCTTTAGAAGGAGAGACAGGGCCGATGGTCGAGAGGGGGTCCGGTACGGGCGGTAAGGGAGAGTCCACTTCAAATACGGGGGGGTCCAGTGTGATTGTCGGTTTTATGGGATTTACTGCTAAGCAGGTAGTGCTCGTACATCCGCCTGTCTCATGCACCACCCTGGCGATCCAGGCTCAATGCAAATTGTAAGTGTTCGTTGTTTTTGTTGGTGTTGTTGTTGCCGATGTTGTCTAAAAGTTGGCAACGTTTGAAATGTTGTTGTTGTTTAAAAATTGGCTACGTTTGAAATGTAATGTCACTGAAAGGTTCGCATTTGGTTCGGAGTATGGATTCTGCCTGTGCGACTACAACACCGGCAAGCTGGTCTTTCAGAAGAACTCAAAAAATGGTTGTTTAGTTCTACAAATCAATTAGTTAGTTAATTAAATGAATCAGTAATTTAGTTATTTAATTAAACTGTAATTATATCATTTCCAAACAGCATTTCACATAACCCACAAACAGAAACACACAGCACAACAACATCAGCAACAGCAACGCCTGCTACGACAATGACGTCACTTCCAGCAGCGAGCTCAGCGACCACGGCAACCGCAACAGCTTCAGCGGCTACTACAGCTACTACAACTCAATCTACAACGGGTAACTACTTTTTGACGATTAACAATCGCGTTGTCGACACGCTGAGACGAACGTTTAGAGCTTCGGTTCGAAGTCTGGAGAGGGTGAGGTCAGAGTTCAAAGGTAGAAGGGGCAGAGGTTACAACGTTGGTGGGAGAATCTGGAAGTCTTTTTCTCTTTCAAGGTTGATCTTTCATTTGTGCTTCAATTTTTTTTATTTTATTTCTGTTTAATTTTAATAAAATTTATTTTTAATTGGGCAGAGGAACGGCCAATTCTCACGGCAGAGAGCCAGCATCGGCCAGCAGACCGCACATTCCTTGTTTGAACTCTTCAGAATCAGCTGTTCTAATCCCCACTAACACTAACACGACTACGGGAGTAACTCCGGATGGCAGCACCAAGCCAACTTCCTCGTCGTCCTCTGCTTATTATCGCCACCAGCAGCAGCAGCAGCACAGACGAATGATTTTTGGCGACGGAGGAGGGTGCGTCAGTTTCATGCAGTCCCATAAGCGCTCCCAGAATGCAACTCTTGATATTTTCAATAACAAAGGTTTCAATTTCATTCTTCATTTTTCAACTTTTATACACCATATATACGTACATACATCCAAACATCTATACATACATATATACAAACAAACATACATACGTACATACATACAAACGTACATACAAACGTACAAACAAACAAACAAACAGGTTCATTAGACCGAGATCCACACACTGCCTCGTTATCAAGAGCTGGCACTCCAATCATTAGGTGCCTGTACTTCTCTAGCAACGATTTTAATAGCTCGGCAGGTGAGCTATGCGTAGTATTATTGCCGTTATTCTTTATCTGTTCATTTATTCATTTATTTATTCATTCATTCCCCTATTTTTTTTACTCTTTCATTCACCGATTTCTACTTTGAGACATCGAAACGTTACCATAACAGCAACACCACCCTCACCACCACCACCACCACAACTACTACAGCAGCAGCAGCAGCAGTGGAAGAGGAGGAAAAGTCTTGGAATGGCACTCTCTGGATAGGGACGAGCCTCGGCAGCATCTTCATGTACAATTTAACTATTCCCCCAGTCAGTAAGCGATATCTACAGCCCGTTATTTGGTCGTTGGGTGCGTTTTTGTTTATTTATTATTAATAATTATTATTTTATTTATTTGGGGTTACATTTTTTAACATTTACTATCGACGCAGCCAAAGAAATAAAACTGAAACACGAAGCTCCCATCTTAGACATCTGCATGCTTGACAACAAAACTGGCTCGCCTATAAAACTAGGTCAACAGCAGCAGCAGCAGCCGCAAAAGCAGCTGCAGCTTAAGCAGAGCCAGCAAAGACAGCGGATGAGAAATTTCAGATGGAAATTCCCGACATCTATTTTTGGAACAATATCGTCTGCCAGCGTCGGCCAGTGCCTCGTCGTCTGCTCCCAGAAGCAAGTCAAGATATTCTCATATCCGGGTCTCCGGACTAAACGGAAAGTGAAACTAAATAATAATAACAACAACAATAATAACTACCTCAATAATGATGATAATAATAATAATAATAATAATAATAATAATAATAATAATAATAATAATAATAATGATAATAAAGAATCTTTCATCCAACATCAGCCTAAACAATTGATCAGTAATAATAATAATAATAACAATGATGATAACAAGTTTTTATCAGCTTCGCGTACAGCTACAACAGATGTCAAGGCCATGGCGGCTGCTAAAAATGTTAATTTGAATGCTAATTATGCAAATTATGCTGATTATGCTAATTATGATCACATCGTTAGGACTCCGTGCATTGCTAAAGTAGCTTATTCATCCTTTCAAAGTCTCGCTGGTTTGTTCATTTCTCAATCAATCAGTTAACCAATCATTCAATCAATCATTCAATCAATTAACTAACCAACCAGTCAACCAATCAAACGATCAATCGATCAACTAATCAATCAACCCGACAACCTACCTACCTACACATACATAGACGAATCGATAGTGGAGTCTGGTCTGGTCTGTCTGACGGATGATGGCCTGGCTACCGTGTACAGCATCCCGAGTCTCAAGCTGAGATTTCTCGCTAATGCTGTGTCTAGACAGTGTGTTAAGTTAGTCTGGGTTTTGTCAATCGACCAACCAATTAATCACTCAATCAATTAATCACTCAATCAACTCACCAACCAATTAGCATACCAATTAACCAACCAATCAGCGACATGAAACTATGCATAATGACGTCACGAGGGTATGGTTTTTATTTGTGCTCGCCCTCGGAGTTTCAAAAATTCACCCTATCAACCTGCCACCCGACCATCAGATCGCTATCATTACCTACCAGGTTGTATGTGTGTTTGTGTGTGTGTGTGTGTGGTTTGGTTGGATTGATTGATTGATTGATTGATTGATTGATTGATTGATTGATTGATTGATTGATTGATTGATTGATTGATTGATTGATTGATTGATTGATTGATTGATTGATTGATTGATTGATTGATTGATTGATTGATTGATTGATTGATTGATTGATTGATTGATTGATTGATTGATTGATTGATTGATTGATTGATTGATTGATTGATTGATTGATTGATTGATTGATTGATTGATTGATTGATTGATTGATTGATTGATTGATTGATTGATTGATTGATTGATTGATTGATTGATTGATTGATTGCTTGGTTGGTTGGTTGGTTGGTTGGTTGGTTGGTTGGTTGGTTGGTTGTTAGTTTGATTGATTGGTTGACCACTTACTAATTAATTGGTTGGTTGGTTGGTTGGTTGGTTTGATGGTCCATTTGTTATTAGCCGTTCGTTTAATTGTACACTTATTCCAAACCTAGGCGTATGTCGACGCCATCTCCACAAACAACAACAACAACAACAAAGAACAACAATAACAAAAAAAAGACAACAACAACGACAACAACATCGTCGACGACAACAACATCGAAAAACAACAGCAGAGACGACAGAGCAGCAACATCAACCACCCCACAAACAATGACAACTTCTATTTCTGCTACTAACAACAATAATAAAAACAACAGTAACAACAACAACAACAATAATAATAATAACGACGACAGTGAAATTAGTTCGATGTTAATGCATTCCACAGAGGAAAATAAAACGAAAGAAATTCAAAAAAGGTCCTCCGGTAAAGTCCCATCGGCTCCAAAGAGTAAAAAAAGCTGTCTTGATGACGACGACGATGATGATGGCAACGATGATGATGATGATGATGAAAACAAACGTGGTGGTGATGATGATGATTACGGGGGAGGAGGAGGAGTTGGTGGTGATGATGATGACGACGATGGGGGCGGAGCTAAAAATAGCATTGCTGTCGTCAACACTGTCATCAGTGATATGTCAGACATTAAGTTGGTACCGGGCTATTGTTCTCCTAAGTAACAACAAAAATAATAATAATAATAATAATAATAATAATAATAATTTTCCTTTCAGAGACGAGCAAGTCATAGAGAAGTTTATACAGAAATTAGTTGACGCTAAATTTTGATTTGAGAATAATATATATATATATGTATATATATACAATATATTATATATGTATGAATGAATTGAACGAATGGATGAATAGAAGATTGAATGAACGATTTTAAAATAAATATTTACACTAAGCTGCCCTAAGCGTATCTTCAATATGGTGATTAATTGCCATATGAACACTTTAAATATTAACAATTATTGTAATAATAATAATTATAATAATAGTAGTAGTAATAGTAATAATAATAATAATAATAATGCTTTGAATATGGTTACACATGAATCATTTCGGTAATGTTTGAAGGTGAACATTTTTTCGTTGTAGTAGTTTAAACTGCTTTTACACTCTTAAAATAATTTTTATGTGCGTGTGTGTGTGTAATTGTGTATGTTGGTGTGCGTGTGTGTTGGTGTGTGCGTGTGTGTGTGTGCTTTGCTTTTGTTATTTTCTCTCGTTGTTCTGGTCCAGATATTTTTCCATTCGTTTTATTTTCTGTTTTTTCGTTCAAAAAATAAATTCGAATTTCGACCCGAAATATGGCTTCGCCTAGAATTGATTCAACTGTTTTAAAAACTATAACAGATTTTTAGTATTGATAATAATATTACTATTATTTGTAGTAGTATAGTAGTTGTATAGTAGTAGCAGTAGTAGCAGTAGTAGTAGTAGTAGTAGTTTGTTTGGTTGAATTAGAAACCTTTCTAAAAAAAATTGAGGCATATTTGAAATATGTAGTTTTATTGCTGGTTGCGATTTTAAGAATTGCCGTTCTTGCTTTT